ATGCGTTTGCCTTTATTTTAATTTAATTTTGTTGGGCATGGAAATCTTTAATTCAAATTTATTTATTTTCTTTTTTATCGGCACTCACTCGATTTGATTTGGGTTAAGGCTTTGATAAGGACCCGTCGGATGTGTTCGGCTTTCACGAAGGCACGCGAAAACTAGTTAACATCAATAAAATTTTCACTTTTGCTCAGCGCAGCCTTTTGTTTTGGGCTTTATTTATTCTTATGTGCGTTTATGTGATTTTTAGCTATTACTATTATTTATGTTAATATTTTTGCCAGCGCTGAGTGGCAGCCGTGGTAGCAGCGCCCGTTGGAGTGGCAACGTTGGCGACTTGGTCGCAATAAGAGTGTCATTCAAGGGCATTGCAAGGTCGCAGCAGTTGCGTCTTTCGCCCACTGGCAACTGAGATGCGAGAGCGCCAAACGACGGCCTCTTTTCAGTTCTCCGATACACAGATACAAAGATTTTCGAGAATTATTTCGTTTAATTTTTTCGCAAATTGGAGAGGATAGGTGTATTGGGGGGAGAGGGGGCCTTGTCACGCAGCGCTTTAATTAAGATTATTAATTTGCTTAGCGGTGTATCTGACGGATACGCTTCTGGCCCAGGCCTGAGTCTTGTGCCTCTCCAATCGCCCGTTTGGCCGTCCTGTCGTGTGGCAACTGAGGCAAGTCTCGCCAAAAGTTGCAACCTTTCAGGCCTCACTTTCGCTCTCATCGCCACCGCTTCTCTGGCCGATTCTCTCGGGAATTCTCTCTCTCAGTGGGCGGCTTTTGGGTGGTTCTGCCAGATATTGTTCTAAATGTCAACGATAAGAGAGAGGCAAAAATCCGAGAGAACAAACTTTTTAGCTGTTGGACAGTGGTGGTTAAATTGAAAAACAGTGTTCGATTTAAAAAAGTTATATCTAATAATAGTTTATTTTTTTCATATTCTTAGACGCCTGTTGAAAATATTTAAACGGAAAATACATTTTAAACAGCTCTTTGACATCCACAATTAAAAATCGAAAAAGATCGGTCTACCATATTCGACTAGAATTTAACTTTACGTCACGCAATAAATACGTTCAAGCCTTAAGCCTTAAGATAACAAATAATTTTAGCTTAAAGCCAAAAAAACGTATATATTTATTTAATTTTTTGGTCTTCTTAAAACTACTCTTGGAGTAACTCAAGAATAATAAACTAGATATAAAAATATTTGTATAGTACTAGGGTCTACGTTTTTGTGTCTTTATACCTAATTTATTTATTTTTTATTTGGTTCTTTTCAGAAAATACAAACTCTTATCTTATCAATTACCACTGTGCAGCATTGTTTGCTGTTTGAACTACGCTCTCAGCGCCTCTCGATTTCTCGCGGTGATATCTCTCAATATTAGTTCTCTTTATTGCTTTACTCAATTGTGGAGCCGGCATTTTTAAACATTTCTATTTTTTGTTTATATTTGCACACCCAAACTGTTTGCTCGATTTTTGTTTTCGTTTAATTATTTTATTAATTGTTTTCGTTAGGTGAAATAGCCAGACTTTCTATGTGCTATATCTCACTTACACTCTTACAAAAAATTGAGGATTGGATACCAATGTATCTTACAGTGAAATATCTTTGTATATTGCGCTCTCTGTTATTTTTAAAGTGCGTTGACTGGGCGAACTTTCCGACAAGATGCATAAACTGTCATTCCACTTAAATGGAAATTGCACTTCTGCGGGCTGCAGATACAGATACAAAGATACATTCTCTTTGGCTCAAGTCTGTGGCCTCTCTTTCCCAAAAATGTCTCTTCGTTGTGCCACTTTCATCTGTAGGTCAGCGGTAAACTTTCGCTTTCACTTCAATGCGACGGCGCTCTCAGGAAAACAATTTCCAAGCTAAGTGAGCCACGTGCCGAACCTCCCACCACCCCCCGGAAAAGTCACTGGAGATTCGGAGGCAGAGAGAACAAGAGCCAACTATTATTTGGTTTAAGTCAGATTTGTTTATCACATAACACAAAATTAACTGTAATTTAATATTGAGTTTCGGGTGTCTAATTAGTCAGTTAGTCATTAAATAAGGATGAAGTCATTTTTATTCTCTATCAAAACCTTATATTTTTAAAAAAGATAGAAGGATATAGTCGAGTTCCTCGACAAGATACCCGTTACTCAACTAACAAATTTTTATTTGTTGATCAATTTTAAAATAATTTAATTACTTAATTTACGAAAAAAAAATTTTCAAAAATGTGGGTGCTACGAACCGGTATTACCATTCTGAAAATTTCAGTAATTTATTATATACCAAAATATTTTTAACCTTTAAAAAGTAAATAACAAATGTTTATTTAAAATTTTTAAAAACACTACTTTTTTGGCTCTCAAAAATCACAATTTTATTGTACCACTATCTATTCGACTCGGCTATTGATCCTGATTAAAAATATATATACCGTATAAGGTACGTGATACATACTTTTCCTCGGATGCAATATAACCTTTTATTTTGCTAGTAACGGGTATAAAAAGTTCAACCATTTTCCAGTTCTTGAATAAAGGCGCCATACGTTCTTTGCTTTCAGTACCAACCTTCTTTCTTTTCAATCGAATTCATTCTCTTCCATGAATAAGAATCGTGTTTTGTTGGTCTGGATAGCAATAAAGTTGGCTAAAAAATATTTAATATTTTAATTAATACAAGTTGCTAATGTTTTTTTTTAATAAATGAAAGATAATTACATTTTCTTGTTTTCGTAAGGACTCTAATTTTTGAATTAAAGCGCCCTACGTTCTTCCTCTTCCAATAATGTGAGTTTAATTTTATTCCGATCTGGTAGCACTAATATCCTCCTACTATTTAAAAATAAAACGACTAACAACCGGCTAAATACTACATAAATATTCACTAAATTACAGTTAAGCAAACAAAAAAAACGAAAACAAACCAGTCGATTGAGCGGATGATTTCGGGATCCTAATAATTTGATTCTGGCAACACTGGATTCTTTAAATGAAATTAAAAGCGGAGACGCACACCTTCAGAGCAAGTTTCGTCGCAGTCCACCTAGGTGGCGCTGGGTCTTAAAATTTTATACCCGTTATTTAGCTATGACCGTCCGTTTGTCTATCCTTGACCTCTAAAAAACGAAGATACCGAGGTCATCTACCTCATGTCTCCCATGAGCCGCACCTAGGTAAGTATTTGTGTTTCCAGCTAACGTTTTCTGTTTTCCAGTCGCAGAAAACTCAGACGAGCCGAGAGGCAGCTCAACGCTTGTGGACGACTTGGACGTGAGGAACCTCTAACAGCCTTTCCCCCACAAAAAAATGTTTTTTTTAACTTTAATGTGTGTGCTAGTTTGTAAACTACAATCGGATATTTTAAACCCGTTACTCTTAGAGTAAAACGGTTTGTTAAATTCGTCAGAAAGTAAAAGAAAGCATTTCCGACACCATATCAGGATCACTATCCGACTCAATCTAGCCATGTCAGACAAAAATTGGCTTAAGTACTTAAGCTCTGTTGTATATGAAAGTCCGTTTTTATTCAAATATATATATGGTCCATCCAATATTTACTTTATTTTATTTATGTACAAGCTTTTAACTTTTTAAAATGTTTCGACCCTTTCTTGCACCCAATATGTTTTTCTTTCATATTAGATCCTTAACTGTTTTTTAATTTTTTTAAACGTAAGCATTTTTTGTTTTGGTGAAAATAAATAATTGTTTAAAGTTTAAAAGTTTATAGTATAAACTAATTGCTGTGTCATGTAACCAACAGATATTTAAGAGGTATGTATTTTTGGTTTTTAATAAAAGTCTTCTTATTAGAGGTGGTTAGAAGTTCTAGTTCTTAAAAAAATTGAAATTCAGTCTTGATTTAACTAAGCAAAATAATTTAATAATAGAAAGGTGAGATGTGTCATAGAGACGGTTGGTACCGTTTCTCTCATGTCCATTGGTCGTGGATATAAAAGAATTGTCAGCATGAATGACACTTCGAGAAAAATAAAATACGGATGGCGATTGGTGAATGATTTTATTCTGAATTCAGTAATGCTGAGTCATGGTCCGATGTTCTCGTCCTCGCCGTACTCTTCCCGGTCTGGTCTTAAAGGTAAGGTTCAGCGGTACTACGTGACCATGGCGCGAATCAGCATGATGATCCCGAAGCACCAGAGCACACAAACTGCATAAAAAATGACCTCATGATAGTCCCTCCAGACAGCTCCTCCTCGCCACTTCTCCGAGAGCAGCTCGAACAAATAGTCGGCAACCAGCGAGTCCAATTCAAAGTACACAACCGAGCAGGAAGCCAGGAACAGAAGCAGGGTCTTCCACAAATGCATGTTTAAAAGCAGAAATCGGATAAAATAGGACTGTGCCATTTTAAAGCTTGTCTGGTTAAAAGTCGATGTAATCCTTGCGAAAAAAGTTGAACAATTTTAGATTGCAACCGAGTGCTTTGAAGAACTGCAACAAAGTGAGCGACAGCCAACTGACTTATGATCCAAGTAAAAAATGTGAATGGCAAATTTTTTGAGGTCCGTAATTTTTGTAGATTCAATCCAGGTATGGGCTTTGTTATCGACAATTTAAATTCAAACCGCTTTTTATTAAAATTAGGATTCCTTGATTAATATTTATAAGTCCACAGAAAACAAATTTAATAAAGTGTTAATTTAAAAAATATGAAATTATTTTCTCTTTTTTATGTGAAGTAAAATAATTTACACATTGGAAGTATAAGTGCAACAATTTACGAGGTCAAATAAGCAGACATAAGTAGATGATATTAGCAATACAAAATGTTATTTATTTATTTAATAATCGGAAACAAAAATATTAGACTTGCTTTCAGCGAACTGGTGAATCTTCTTGCTCACCAAGATTAAAGACATGTTAGACATTTGTTGTTTGAACAGCGCGCCAAGATTGTGCAGCTTATACCGCACCCCTGGTCGATAGCCGATAGGTCCAATCAGCTGTTTTCCCCCATCCCCACATTTACAGTTGTGTGCGATTGCTTGACAAATCGAAACTTGGCCATAAAACTTCAAACAAACTTCCTGATGTAATACATTAGCACAAATCGGCGGGAAGACAGCATTCACGACGTCGTGCTGCTCGCATTTTCGATTTTATTTCGGACGCGGATTGTCGAGGAACGGGAATCCAATTAGAATGTCAGCCAGCGCAGTTGTTCGCTCCCCCGCGCAGCATCGCCGCACCCTTCCCACTCCCCCTCCCCCTCCCTTTGATTCCAAACTCCCCCTTAACCGGCAGCAACAACAACCAAATGAACAGCAACAAAAACCACCACCAGCAGTCCAATCGGTGAGTTTTCCCGCTTTTTCTTGGTTTCCAGGGAAACGGCACAGCTGTGCCCCCAAAACAGCTGATTGATTGCACTGGCGAAAATTGCAGATTGCACTTGACCCATTTTCGTTTAGTTGCGATCATTATGTGATTTTCGCACTGCGTTGTGTCACTTAGGCGTTTTACACTAGCCGTTGCATTTAATTCGTTTTTCGCTTCGGAATGTTTTTGTTATGCAAATGCTTAAAATCAAATGCTTGTCATAAACAATTAAGTGCAGTGGCGTGGATTTCGTTGAGGGGGATTTTCAAAACAAGTTTTGTGTAGCTTACATTGTTTTGCATAGGATTTTGCCTGAAATAGAGTAGGGGCTACGCCTCTGATAAGGTGTGACCATGTTTTCTAGCCTTTTCCGTTCTACAATTTACATTTTCCCTCCCAACTTTGGATCAAATTATAAATTCAACGCACATCATTAATATGCACAACATCTAAGATTCTTTTTGTATAATAGACTTTTGTATACAAATTCCGTTAATAACACATTTAAAGGAAAATCTATATGCATAGCGCAATTATATTTAGGGAAATCTCTTATTTTTGATTTATCTAATAATATACTCACAAAGTTGTATACTCATATTACCAATACTTTGGAAGATATGCAAGAAAACACAACCCATTTTTTATGGATCGTCCATGCAAACCGTAAACTTTGAGGCGGGTTTTAATCTTCACGATTTCAAGATTTCTTTTAGTTTCTGTTCTCAGTTACAAGACCTTTATTAAGTCGGTTGAGATTAATGATGGCTCGATTTTAGGAAGTCAAATTCTTTTCTAAGTAACACCATTTTATTTTCCAACACATTTTTTCGCATTTTCAGCTGACAGATAAAAACAAAAATACAACCACTTTTTTCTTCAAAACCGTTCCCATCCAGAAGATAACTTTATTATTTTAAAATGAGCAATGATAAATCTCGATCGGGTCAGTACAGCTCTCTCAATCGTATAGCCAAAAACTAAAAAAAAGAAGGCCTTTCGAAAAACACTCGTTTAAAGTTTTGGAAACTTTAAAATACGCCTTCAGGCACTTCCACACAGAAAATTACAACTTTGTAAGTTCTGAAGATATCGACCTAAGTTTCCAGGCAGCGTTTTTCAAATATAGTCCAATTGAACAAAAATGTTTCCAAAAATCTAAATTGGGATCGTCCAAAGGAGGTCCCTCTAACAAAAACTAAGTGTTCTTTTTACTAAGTCTGCTATAATGCGATGCTTAAAGCCTGAAGAAATATAGTTTATTTATATTTGGATTATTGAAATTTTTTTTAAACTGACAAATTTAAAGAAAGGCAGCTTTCAAATTAAAAAAAAACGAACGGTCTTCCGCTAAGCCACCCTTTGTGCAATGTGAGAACTATATTTAAAGTCAGGCTCAAGTGGCCTGTACTTAAGATTACAATTGTTCGGCACTGCACCCTTGTAGGTTTTAAGTTACAGATCGTTATTTAAGGCTCTAGATAGATTTACATATTCACATGAACAGAGCTCATAAAATTTTAAATTTACGACATCTTCTTGAACACTGATTATAACTTATTTACGAATGTCACAAGATACTTAAGTAAATTTTTTTTTTCCTAACAATATTTTAAAATTAATAATAATAAACAAATTTAATGATTCAATCACTTTATATGCTTCTACGGTGACATATTGTGTTTACAATGTACATACATATGTAAGGAATGCCATTAATTTGGACTTTTTTACAATGTTTACAAAGTAAGAAACTCTTAGGCAAACATAAACTCTGTACTCGAATGGAAAGATGTGACAGTCAGCGAAAAAGTTTCATCTAAGGCTGATGGCGTTGGTATCAGCAAGCTTATATGAATTCCACACGTTTTGTTTACAAACAAACATTAAACATATCGGGAGCTAATTCAAAGTGGCATAATAATAAATACGAAGCACATCTACTTCATACATGGCTATTCAGACTTCTAAAGTGATGCTAGTCCTGAATAAAATTAAAACAAAATGTATTTTTTATTAGAAAAATCCTTGCCTTCGTAATTAACTAGCTGGTAATTAGCTAGGTCATTTGTTGGGCTATACTCATCTTTTGTCCTTAAGTAAGTTAAATAATTTCTAACCACAATTTTGAGCACTCTCTCTCCATCTCCAAGAGTTCCATTTAATAACAATTTACTCAGATTTGTAATTACAATTACCTAGATCTGAATAACAGGTGGCTAAATAATAGTTAACTGCAATATCTTCAGGGGCATTTCGGATGAAATTTAAAATGATTTACGAAAGAAATCGCCAAGAAGTTTTCTCGTCTGCATGCTAAACCAAAACTAAGCATTATTCAAATTTCTTTTATAAACTTCTGGGCTTGAAACCAACCTTTATTTTAACATGCGGGCGATCAATTTTCTCCAGATTCCTTAAATATAGTGACCTAGCGTTAAAAGTCTCACAAACTCTTTACTCCAAATACTGAATAAAATACAAGTTGTACCTTATAAACACATTTGTCGACAGGGTCCATTTGAAAATTACAAAAATGGCATTTTCTGCAAGCTCAATTATACCACCTCCTCTGGGTAGTGATATTCCTTATGAAGATTCGTTGAAGCGGCCAAAATATTATCGGAAGGTTGTGGCCCAATTGACAGTAAGAACTTGAGTATTTTCAGAGATTTGCTTTACCAAGATCGACTGTTGCAGGTCTGCATGGTTGTGACTTTAACCACAGCAGCCATTGTTGTGTTACTAACTGAAAGTGCGTCGTATTCCCTATCGAAAAATTGGAAGCTGGGATTTGCAGCCTTAATTTACTTGACGATAATTAATTTACTTGTATTTTGGAAATCGGCAAGCAAACCCGTTTTATTAGCTTTATACGCAGCAGCCCAGATGATGACCCTCCCATATTGGTAGGACTGTCCTGTTGGAAATGTTCTTTCCTTTTTTACCAAAGTACTAATCCACAGTGCCTCGCTTATTCTAAACATTCCAAGGATGATCGATGGCCATATCGAAAAGAAGGAGTGTATTATGGCCGCCATAGGTCTAGTTCCAGACATCATATGTCTAAGTATTTTTTTAGTCTCCATGTGCTTGGGGGGTCATGGTGGTGGTAGTGGAAGCAGTGATTTTTCCAGTACCAGTACCAGCGGCAGTAGCAGTGGCAGTGGTGGAAGTTCCAGTGGAGGAAGCAGCGGTGGAGGAAGCAGCGGTGGAGGAAGCGGTGGTAGCTAAATTTACATACCATTCATAACTTGTATTGATATGTTTACGTAAAAGTAAAAGTAAAGGATTAAATGAATTCAACAAGTTATTCGACTTTTAAATCTATATAGGGCTCTAAAAATCGAAGTATACGAAAACTAGTAGTTAATGCTACATTTAATACAACAAAAATGTTATCTTTGTTCCGTACACTTTCAGATGCTTATTGAGGACGAGGTTCATGGAGTAATTGAACTGCCCAGCCATATTCAGGAGATCGTGGAGCATCCTCTTTTTCAGCGACTTAAAAAGGTCCACCAACTGGGTCTCATACCATGGTCCCTCGATAAGAAGGCCAATCACAAGCGATTCGATCATTGCCTTGGGTAAATATTAAGATCGTATAATTTAAATTAAAATCGAAATATATATTTTTCATATACAAGAGCCTACAAAAGTGCGCAGGATCATCTAAGGGCCATCGAACGAAACTCGCACTATGAGCCAAAACTACCGGATTGGTGTCGTCAGGCGGTGGAGATAGCTGCCCTTCTTCACGATATAGGACATGGACCGATGTCACATGCTTGGGAGTTTGCGTGCCATCATAGTTTTGATGTAAGTTATATTTAGTCTGGTGTAGATGATTGATAAGTCTTACGACTTGACTTTCTTTTAGCACGAGCAAAACGCATTGGCCTGTGTGGATCTCATTTTTAAAGATGCCGTTAATCAGGAGCTGGTCTCCTTAAGGGACGATGGTAGCGGGCGAGGAGTTCAATTGATAAAGGCTTTGATTCTGGGATGCAGTGACTCTCTTTCGTTTCCCATGATGGGTCATACTTACATCCTTGATATTGTTCATAATCGTCGCTGCGGATTGGATGTAGATAAATGGGATTACCTGCGCCGCGATAACAATCGCTTGAAAGTCCTCAACTCAGCGGAAATGGATTTTAATGATGTGTTTCTTCAGGCCCGCATATCGGCCGATGGACAACGCATAGAGTATCGTTATCAGGACTTTCATCGTATATATCGCTTGTTCGAGGCCAGAACGCGGCTCCATGTGGCTGCTTATCAAAGTCCCCGTACATGTGCCATGGATGGTATTTTTGCCAGTGCAGTACAACGGTTGGCTCCTGATCTCCTTAACATTCGATCGGATAACCCAGAATGGCTAAAACTGCACGATGATCATGTTTTACATGTAATTGAAAAGGATCCCATATCGACATATATAAAGAATCCCCAAAGAATTGTAGAAGTATCAAGCAAAGATTCTTCCGCATTGAATATCATACGGGTGCATAGGGAAATACCCGGTCCTTGGGAGGCTATGAAATCAGAAGAGGCTTTCGCGTTGTTTGGCAATAAGCGGTATGCAAAATATATTTAATAAACATAAACCATTTCCTAATTTTTTTATCTATCCTCAGCAAAAAGCGTCCAGTTAATCGATGCGCGAGACCGACAATAATAAACAAGTGCTATAAGTTAGAGTAAAAATCTCCAGCAGAGAATTTCCAGTTCATAGAATAGTTTATGTAAAAACCACCAACCAATCGTTCTTTTTCCTTAAATTCGCTATATATATTTAAACCGACATATTCTCATGACATTATATATAAATACTCGAAATGCTGTTTACGTTTTTTAACCCATTATCGTTGGTTTTATAAGTTAATTTTGTTATTAGTATTTTGTGTTTTCCGTTTCATAGTTAAAATAGTAAAAAAGTACAAAAGCAAAGTGTTCTTAAAATATTCATTTATTAGTTTATACATTGTATTATCATAATCGTCTTAAAACTAAAATACTAAAACAAAAATTTCAACAGTTCACTTGAAGACATCACAATACAAATTCAGGTCTTTCTAATATTAAGTACTTACTAATCAATATAAATATAAGATGGATTTGTCATATTTTTGATAACCATTTTGAAATATACACAAGAAAAACAATCATTTAGCTAAAACATAATGGGGAACTTAGCTGACTACAGGTTTGAGTACAATTTTGTTGGTCATATTTGTTTCTACATTTGTTCGCGATCTTTAAAGTATCCAATTTAATTGCCAATTAGGCCGGGCAGATGAGCTGAATCTGTGATAATTCGCTGGGGTAAGTGGGCAGCTAAATATTGTTTATGGAGTCTCTGGCGGCAAAACTGATAGAACTCGATCTCATTTGTAAAGTTCCGACGCACTATATCCTTAACATGTTCGCTGACCGGCGGCTTGAAGTTGTTCTTATTGATCTTCGTTAAGTATTCAGCGCTAGCTATAAGATGACAAATCAAAATACATAGATGTGGTTAGAGGTTTATAACTCATATGTGTCAAGTTAACATAAAGTTTTCAGTAAAATGGTGTACTGTATTCGTCTGAAAAGTATATAAAGTTTATGTAATCTTGATCGGGAGTCGATCTAGACATGATCTTAAAATCTCAAAATTAACTTGGTTTCAATTCAAAGTTTGCCCGATTAAAAAAGTCTAACAGCCGTCATTTTGAAAGAATAAAAAAATTACAAATGTTTTTACTTATTTTAAAAGAATAAAATAAAAAAAAATGTTTTTAATTATATAAGAGCAAAGTAATCGAAAGGACAAGTTACAAAATCCTAGCACAATAAAAAATCATAAAAAGCACGCAAAGTTTGCTATTCTATATGTATCGCCCGTCTTAAAAAAGATTTAGTTATTTATATTAATTTTAGATTACTTTAAGCGTGGCTGAATTGAATTTTAGTTGACCACTAGATTTCTATAAACTCACTTGCATAAATATCTCGAACACCCTCGAAAAACCGTGGTACATATTTTTCCAGGACGGAGAGTGTGGTGTTGAGATCTTCGAGTACACCGACAACAGCATACTGCTGCTCTACGGCAAATTTGGCTCGTTCAAGAGCACCCAAGGTGTTAAAAGGCCTAGAAATGTAATAAAGTCGTTAATTAAAAAGTTAATTTCCCAATTTTATAGTAGACTTTTTTAAAATTACTCAGTAATTCAACAGTAACTTTGTTATTTCTAGGGCTACAAAACAGAAACTTACGTGCACTCGTAGTCGTGACCGCAGAAAAATAAGCTCTGTCTGCGATGATCGCCAATTCCCTCCACCGTGACTCCCTGAGTATAGGTGCACTCCTGATCGCCATTAAGAACACATGTTTCAAAATCCTTCTTAAGCCAAGCAGGATGGGGCAATGGTAGATCGGGAAAGGCTGCTTTCCGCTCCACAAAATACCAAGGAGCCCTCACGTAGTAAAACCAACTGATGACACGCTCCACAGGGTCACGAACCACATTTAGGTAAATTGGTTTGGGCAGATTGAACTTGGTAAAGTTGGTAAAGCACACATGCTTGATAAAGACTGAGGGTTCCGGGAGCTCACTGATCACTTCGGCCATTTCCTGCTGCTGGTCCTCCGCCAAACGTATTGTCTCAACTTTTTGGACTGCATCGCGATGGAACTGAAAATTATTACGCTCGGAAAGTCGTCGAAGAAGCTCCATGAACGTCTGACTTCCAACTTTAGGAACTCGATTAAAAAATACCAGTTCCATTTGGGCCTTGCGGGTATTATTCAAATCCCTCACGTTTAAGGAGGACATCTGGTAATGAGTTTAAAAAATAGTTATTAAAAATAAAATACAAACAATTTATAGATGTAATAATGTGGTTTCTTTTACCTTTAGATCCTTGGTACTTGATATGCATTTTGGGCAAAGGGTATGTTTTTATGGCCTAATTAGACATTCAAATAACTGGGCAGAACAGTTTCTTAAACAAATTGAACGGCTTAGACGTTAATATAGGACAAAGAAACCCCTCAACAAACCATTTCTTTATGTCAAATATAAAATATATAAAAATATACTTTTGCATTTTTTCAGTCAAAATATTTTCTTTATTGGCGTTAGTTTTATCTGAAACCTTTAATGAAGATTGTTCTCGAGTTGTAGGGCCAAATATTGTTTATACAAACGCTGCTTGCAGAAGTAGTAGAACTCATATTCGTTGGTAAAGTTCCGCCTTACCATCTCCCTAACGTCAGGATCTATATGGGGCTTGCGATTATTGCGATTCCGATTTCGAATAGCTTTGCTGTGCACTGAAAGAGATAAATCCATGACTCTTGATACCTTGTCGACGATACTTGAACACTTTTTGAATTTAACCCCGGGGACTACCTACATTTATATAGAAAACGAGCGTGATTGAAGAATCTGGGAATGTATTTCTCCAACACAGTCAGGGTTATGTTTCTTTCTTCTAATGTGCCCACCACAGAATATTCTTTCTCCACTCTTCGTTTAGCTACCTGTATAGCGTGTGGGGAATTAAAGGGCCTACAGGAGGGTAATACTTTAAACTTAGGTCAACGAAGCCTTGAACTACTCACAAGCAATCGGCTTCATTGCCGCAAAAGTACAGGGATTGTCTCTTGAAGTCCTGAATGTAATCCCCAACTGAATATTGGACGAAGAGGCATTCTGGACTTGCACTTCTCACACAGTCGTTGAAACTCTGTTGGTACCACTCATCGGACCTCTCAGGACGTCCTGGGTACATCCTTCTGTATATTGTTCTCTTAACCCAAGAGCGTCTCTTGTGGAAGTCTGTAATCATCCGATCGATGGGATCCTTTACAAGGGAGATATATATTGGTTTCTTGTACCCATAACTAGCAAAGTCCAGCCAATTGGAGTGGGCCATGTAGATCGATCCACTCTCCAGTTCATTAGCCCATTCCGCTTCGGTCAGCTGCTCCTTTTCAGTGCGAGTTCTGTTCATCGTTCTAACAGGTCCATTGAGCACCACATTGATATCATTCATGGCGGCAAGTTGCCTGAAAAGTGGTAACATTTGCTCGCTGTCCACTCGGGTTGGTCGATTGAAGACCACAAGACCAGAGCCCGCGAATCGAGTGTTGTTCAGATACATTGGGGTCACCCGGCCGAGCTGGGAAGGTCAGGGGTTTTTGTGGGCTCCATTAAATTTCAAAACAAAACACAGATGGGAGGATGATAAACGGAGTGTAAATGGTGTAACAACTTATACTGACAACTATCCCAGGATATAACCAACATAAAAGTGTCCAAGTATTCAACAAAACCAATTGAAATTCAATCAAATCTTTCTCTAATTTTCTTTAAATTTGATTGAACAAGAATTGGAAGCATGACATGCAACCTACACTCGAATATATTCCTGACTCCCTTGAAGAATCTTGGGATGTAGGCTTCAAATACAGTTAGGGTTATATTAGTCTCTTCCCAAGTTCCCACAACTGCATAGTCCCGTTCCACATGTACTTTGGCTAGCTGAATGGCACGTTGAGAGTCGAAGGGTCTGAAATATGTTCTCCACTTGAAATATGTTCTTATGGAAAGACCAAGTTTTATTCTAATCTACTTACAAACACTCTCTACCGTGACCGCAGAAGAAGAGAGTTTGCCTTTTGTAATTACCCACTGCCTCTTTAACACTTCCAGGTACATATTGACACTCGGGGTCACCACTGCGAACACAATCGTTATAGCTCTTTTTAAACCACTTCTCCGGTTGTATTGTCGCGTTGGGAAATCGTCGAAAGTGGATGGCGTTGCGGTAACTACTGCGAACGTAGTAATACCAACTTATCATCCGCTCCACGGGGTCGCGAACCAAGTTGATATAGATGGGTCTTGGCAACTGATATCTGCGGAAATCCAACCAATTGCAATGTTCTATGTATACAGTGCCTGGCTCCAACTCGGTCACCCAAAGGGCCTGTATCATTCGTTCTCCAGGCGATCGTGTTCGGGATATAATATTTATTGGTCCTTTGGTGACTACTGTCATGTTATTATAAGGAGCCATCGTTTGGATGAGTTCCATCAAAGCCTCACTTCCAACTTTGGCTCCACGATTGAAAAAGATCACCTCCAGTTTAGAATGTTGAGTGTTGTTCAACTTTTTGCAACTCAACGAAGCAAGCTGTGATTTATATAAATTGAATTGGACTTATGATTTTCAAAGACTTCCTAAGGGTTTTTTACTTGTTAGTTACATTAACTATTGAGTACTTTATTAAAGAGCTACAAAGAAACTATGTCAATAACTAAAGATAGATCAGTCTTAGAAGTTAGGGGTTAATCAGTCGTTCCATATCATATCGCTTGAGGGCTATATACTGCTTATATAGACGCTGTTTGCAGAAGTAGTAAAAGTCGTATTCATGGGTGAAGTTACGCCTGACCATGGCCCTGACGTCTGGGTCCACCTGGGGTTTTCTATTGTTGCGATTGCGATTCTGTAAGGTCTTTTGGTACACTAGAACGGAGATTTTTAAGGTGCTAACATCGAACTATATTTTATGGGGAATTCTTACTGTGATATATCATTTTAGCTCTAGCGAAATATCGGGGAATATAGTGCTCCAAAACTGTAAGAGTTATGTTGGTCTCCTCCCAAGTCCCCACCACAGCGTATTCTGATTCGACCCTGCGCTTGGCTATCTGAACAGCCAGGGGAGAATTAAAGGGCCTGAAATAAGGTGTTGGTTATGAAGACTTCTCTTGAGGTTGGGACTTTACGCCCTTTGCAGCACTCACAAACAGTCCTCATCGTGCCCGCAGAAAAAAATAGATTGCCTTTTGAAGTTTCCCACCACATCGCGAACTGCCAATGGAACATACTGGCATTCTGGGTCCCCACTCCTCACACAGTCGTTATAGGTCTTTTTAAACCAGGCCGTGGGCTTAATAGGAGCCAGGGGATGTTTTCGGTAGAATATGGCATTCCTATAGGAGTTCCTGACGTAGTAATACCAGCTGATCATTCGCTCAACGGGGTCTCGAACCAGGTTGATAAAGATTGGTTTGGGAAGATTGTACTTATGGAAATCGATCCAAGGAATATGTTCTATGTAAACCGATCCCTCATCCATGTTATAGACATAGCCAGCAGTTCGGGCTTGTTCCAGTGGTTTGAGTTGCCTTTTCGATTTCTTGCTAACTCCATATTTGTCCACCCGATAGTGGTTGATATTCTGCAGATGCTCCATGAATTCCATCAGCGACTCACTGCCGACTTTGGCGCATCTTGTGAAAAACAGACGATCCATTTCGGCCTTGGCTGTATTGTTCAGTTGGCCAGGCGTTAGGTCACCTAACTATTGGGGGATGGGGTACAGGTTTAGAAGGGGTTTAGAAGCTTCATGGGAAGGGTACACATGCCACACAACAAACGATAAGACACAGATATGGATTCAACGTGTAAAAAAAGTGTGGGTCTAGTCTACGGTTTTACTGAATACTATTTATTAAAATGTGAAGATTTGTTCGCATATATATCACCTACTACAATCTAAATGTCTGACTTTAAACCAACTAGTTCAAAAGACCATGCTTCTCCAACTCCTTCAAGTTGAGGGCCAAATACTGCTTGTATAAACGTTGCTTGCAGAAATGGTAAAACTCGTACTCGTTAGTAAAGTTCTTACGGATCAAATCCTTAACTTCAGGCTCTATAAACGGTTTACGTTTGTTCTTGTTCCGATTGGTGATCTTGTTATTGTGCACTGTTTAGAAATGGGTAAAAATGTGAGTTCCAATTTTAACTGGTTGTCGAATTTTTAGAACCTACTTTCATACATGAGCTTAGCCCCGCGAAAAAATCGTGGAATGTAATTCTCGAGGACGGTCAGGGTTATATTCGTGTCCTCCCAGCTGCCTACAACAGCGTAATCCCTTTCCACATGCTCCTTAGCCATTTGCACAGCAGTCGGCGAGTTAAAGGGCCTACAAGATTAGCATTAGTTAAGCCCATGGATTTAGGAATACTTTTCACTATCCCTATCAACTTACATGCAATCATCGTGATGTCCGCAATAAAACAATGATTGCCTTTTAAAATTGGGAATCACATCCTTGACCGTATGGGGCACATATTGACACTCGGGATCTCCACTCCTCACGCAATCATTAAAGTTCTTTTTGTACCAAGACTCGGGTTTTATTTTCTGATCAGGCCTCTTCCGGTACTCGATGGCATTCTTATAGGAACTTCGGGCGTAGAAGAACCAACTAATAACCCTCTCAACGGGATCGCGAACCAAATTGATGTAAATAGGTTTGGGTAAGTCGAACTCATCAAAATCAAGCCAATTTATGTGCTCTATATACATGGTACCGTCCTCCAGGTCGGCGACAAACTCGGCGGACTCACGTCTCTGCTTTTTATTCATTTGACGAACGGACTTTGTATGGAGACCATGCTTTTCGAGTGTAATATCATCATTGTACTTTTCCAATGCCATGAAAAGCTCCAGCATCGCTTCACTACCGACTTTGGCGGCACGATTAAAGAACAGTACCTCGATTTCTGCATTTTTTGTATTGTTCAGACGATTTGTGCTCAGGTGCTGAAGCTAAAGATGATGAGGGTTTCGATAAGAGGAAGGTCATCCAGTTGATCCCGTGCCTTGGCTGGTTAGTAAGCAGCGATCTTATTATTTCTAAAATTCTTTCCGACTATAAGCGAATGGAAATATTTTCCTTTGAGTGTGGAGGATCGAGCATAAGTAAATGTAAGATTGGCTTTCATTTTTTCGGTTATAAAGCGATAGATATAACTTGATAGAGAGCTTAAGTTCTTAGCAATCCGTTTGCAAAAAAATTGTGCATACCGAAGTTTCAAAACAATATTGATTAGTATCCCTAGATGGTAAAGTCGAGTAGAATTCCAGCAAGACATCTTAAGTTTTAAGATAAAAGGAGCATTAGGAAAAAAGCGGTAGATAGTGAAGATAAAGAAGTAAAAATTTCGGCATTTAAGAAAAGTCTTAGGTTTTCCTCTCACTTTTATTAATTTCGTTTTAAAATAAATCTAAAAAACTAGTTATATGTGGCCATATCCTTGGCCTCACTTAATCTGGCCAATGTTTTGTCCACCCGCTTGAGATCGTTCAGTTTGATGGCTAGGTACTGTGTGTGCAAGCGCTGGCGACAGAATTGATAGAATTCGATTTCACGTGTGAAATTCCGTCGAACCCTATCTAATATATCCTGCGAGATATGCGGCTTCATTGGGTTAACATTTTGCTTGTCGACATGCAGACCCGCTGTAAAATATATGTTGCTATCAAATTTCTAGACTTCTGAAGATTATAAAGAATAAAGTATTTTTAAAATCAGGAAACTTTTCGGCTTCTGAACGTATCCGTGATTTTAAAGAATTTTCCCACATAAACTTACAGTAGTACATTTTGGAAGCATCCGCAAAATAGCGAGGAACGTAGGCCTCTAAAACAGCCAGGGTTTCATTCGTGTGCTCCCAAGTTCCCACCACAGAGTATTCCCGTTCCACATTCATTTTGGCCAATTGAAGGGGCAGACGGCCATTAAAGGGTCTACAGAGGGATTTGAGGGTTCACTGAGAGGAAAAGGGGGTGTGCAAACCTAACTCACGTGCACTGGAACTCATTGTGACCGCAGAAGAACAAAGTCTGTCGCCGATGATCGCCCACATGTTCCAGCAGGGAATTCTCGATGTAGGTGCATACCTTTTCACCACTTGTAACGCACTGATCGTATTCGGTGTTAACCCATTTGGGATTGGGCATTTCACGATTGTTACGCCTTCTTCCAGGGACAAAGACCCACGGAGCTCTGATGTAGTAGTACCAGCTGATAACTCTCTCCACTGGATCGCGAACCATGTTGATGTAAATGGGTCTGGGCTGTTCATGTTTGGTAAAGTTTAGGAAATTCACATGACTTGCGAATACTGATCCGTCTTCAAGGTTAACAATATTATCGATCATGTCGCTTTCCTCAGCGGGTTCCAGAATGGGAATGACTCCTCCTCTTTGGGGATCCTTTTCCACCTCGTAGTCATGGACTTTTCCCAGCTGTCTCATAAGTTCAATCAGCTGCATACTTCCTGTCTTCGGAACCCGATTGAAAAACAACACGTCGATCTCCGCCTTGGGGGTATTGTTTAATTTATCAGGACTTAGCTGAAGGATCTGCAAAGGTCGTTGGTCACCCTTGAGTTAATTTCTTATATGGGTGGCGGAGTGGAGAGTGAATTCAAGCAACCAAGCTATTCAAAATGATTAGTAGCGAAAGGAGGGAAAGAAGACTCGAATTGAAATTTAGGTGTAAAAATCATTTGGTAAATCCCCGTATTTATTTTCATTTGGTAAATTTCATTGCATTTAAAGTTAAGACGGCTAAAACTCGTCCTTATACACTGCAATATACTGCTTGTAGAGTCGTTGTTTGATAAAATAATATAGCTCAAACTCGAAGGAGAAACTGCTCCTCAGATACTCCTCCACATCCTTATCCAGATGAGTGTCATGCGAAACTGTGTTTATCGTAAATTTTTCTGTTTTGCCTAGATAGGAGAGTTCGAAGTTAGCGGAGTTTTGGGTTTATTAATTTAAGAATGAACCTACTGTAGTAAACCCTCCTCGCATTGGCAAAATATCGCGGTATGTAGGCTTCTAAAACAGCCAAGGTCACATTAGTATCCTCCCAACTACCCACAACCGCGTATTCCCGTTCCACATTCATTTTGGCTATTTGCGTTGTAGTTTCGGAGTTAAAGTGCCTAAAAAGGAGCCATGGTACTTTATAGGCCGTTACTCTTTGAAAAGTGCCTTATTCCGCGTCCAAGTTTAAACGAGAACAAATAAAACGATTTTTTTAAGAAAATTTGGGTTGTCAGTTTTTAAATGTTACAATAAAGTAACTTTACGATTAAATTTGTAATCAGCTCACATGTAACCGAGATTTCTTAGGATATACTTTTCCCCTAAAAATTGTCTAGTTACTTGGTTTTACGTTTTGAAAATGTTTCGTTCATCAAAATTTCTTCAATAAAGTTGTATCCCTTTTAAACTTGGACTAGGACTGAAAGTCTACATTTCTTTCTGAACCAATAAAAACCTACGTGCAAATTTCCGAATTTCCACAGAGGTGAAGCGAAAATCTCCTCCAATCGCCGTTAAACGGATTGTGGGCATCAAAAACACAATATGGGGCTATCCGATTCCGGACACAATCGTTGAAAGAGGTGTCGAAATACTTCTTGGTCTGAATTCGCTTTTTGGGGTTTCGCATCAAACCCTGGGCGAAGATCAGCGGATGGCGTTGGTAATAGTAGGCACTGATAACCTTCTGTATAGGATCGCGAATCATGTTGATGTAAATTGGTCGGGGACTCCCGTGCTTTGTGAAGTTGACCCAGTTGGCGTGTTCCACGTAGGCACCGTATTCACCCAGTTCGAAGAGCTGATCCACCAGATCCTTCTCATCCTCATCGCTATCAATAATCGGCCTCCAAGGTCGGACTATATTCCTGTAAGTGCCAAATCCATGTCGATCACCCAGTTGCGACATGAGTCGCGTCATCGACTGGCTTCCTGTCTTTTCCAGACGATTGTAGAATATAAAATCCCGCTCCGCTTTGGGGGTATTATTCAGTTGAGCAGCGTCCAAGTTTTCCAGCTTAAAATTGGGGAGAGAAATAAGTCCACTTTCTTCCAAAAACAGAATCAAAACCAATAACGACACAGAAAATAAACTACAGGGTTGTACGGAGTAAAGTTAATGGAAAAAACGAAAAGAGCACACTGTTCCTTAGAAATGCAGGTGTCTATTTATTGCAAAGTATTGTCGATACAAGCGCTGCTTGCAAAAATAATAAAAGTCATATTCCTGGGTGAAGTTGGCTCGCATAATTCGCTTGATGCGTTCGCTAATCTTCGGCTTCCAGGGGTTGAGATTCTGCTTCTTAAAGGCCAGGCCCCTAATGGGTTCTAGGGGAAGATATAGATATTTTTGAGCACCTCTGAATAGCAATTTCAAGGACATTACCGTAGTAGAGCTCCATGCTGCCCTTAAAGAATCGAGGTATATAGTTTTCGAGTACGGTCAAAGTCACATTCACATCCTCCCAGGAACCAACCACCGAGAAATCACGTTCTACATTCTGTTTGGCCTTTTCTATTGCTCCCGGGGTATTGAAGGGTCTTGAGCAAAAAACCTTACTGTTAAGACAGGAAACCGAAATATTAAGACTACCTACTCGCAAATGGGTGAGTGTCCACAGAAGAACAGGCTTTGCCGCTTGTGATCGCCAGGATCATCTTTGAACATAAGACCGTAATGATACCGACATTCTGGATCGCTCGTTAATACACAATCCTCAAAGTTCTTCAAGAAATGGGTACGATTCGGAAATTTTCCGGAGACCTCAAAATTTCTTACAGAGTTCCAGGGTGTGCGTATGTAGTAGAACCAGCTGATTACTCTTTCGACGGGGTCGCGAATCTGATAAATCAATCTGTAAGTGAGTAGGCCTTCTTGGAGCCAGATATTTGTCCTACCATATTAATGTAGATGGGTTGGGGTAAATGAAACGGTCGGACATTCATGTAGTTCATGTGCTCCACATAGACAAAGGCGGAGTCCTCCTGTAGTTCCATGATGCGCTCGGCTTCTTGACGCTGGCGTTCTACGTCCCAGTATACTCCAACGGGCTTCGAAAACGGTGCCCGATCGTTTTGGAAATGGTTCTTTTCACCCAGTCTTATCATAAGCTCGGTCAGGGTTTCACTGCCCGTCTTGGGAACCCGATTGTAGTAGATAACATCGCCAGTATGGAATTTGGTGTTATTGAGGAACTTTGGATTTAATCGCCACAGCTGCAAAGGGTCAGGGCACAGGTGTAGAATCTGAAACCAACCACAGACAGTCCCACAGACACTAGCAGTATGGATGAGGATACACAAAAAGCTCGAGCTGGATTCGAGGTACACAGAAAGCAACCGAACACTGTGTTCACACGGAGGTATTTTGGGAAGTATTCACACACAAAGCAATCGAGGACTGTCTTCATATAACATATATAAAGTTTAAAAAGAGAGCATTCAATAAAAAGTGGGGGGTTCAATTTCAATATTGCTTATATTGAAAATACAACCTTCCTTCTATGTAAAATTACACAAGGGTAGCATAGTGTTCCATTTATTTAATTTTATGCGTTCTATACAGTCCTGAGTTTATACTGGCTTTTTACTTAGTTAAATTATTCTTAATAGTCCCTACTAATACTCCTCATTGTAATCGTTTTGCTGTTCGGGTACCAAAAGGTAGTCATCGTCCCCGAACCGCTTTCCATCGCTCAAGGCAGCGTACTGAAGATACAAACGCTGTTTGCAAAACTCGTAAAACTCGATCTCGTTGGTAAGATTTTTTCTCAAAATAAGTCGAGTTTCGTCGCTGACGATTCGAGTGACATTGTTGCGATTTACTCGCGACAGACGGTCTTTGCCCACTGAAAAAATTAAGCGGATTTAGATCGGACTTATCATCGGCTTAGAATTCGACTTTCTTACAGTAATAGGCCACTTTGGCATTGCGGAAATATCGTGGTATATAGGCCTCCAGTACGGAAAGCGTAATATTTGTATCTTCCCAGGTTCCCACTACTGCGTATTCCGTCTCCACAGTTCGCTTGGCCTTTTGCATGGCGGCCTCGGAGTTAAAGGGCCTATCGAAGGTGTTCGGTTATGAGCGTATTAATGTCCCTATCTACTTCCTACTTACATGCACAGCTTCTGATTCATGCCACAGAAGAACAACGTCTGCCGGCGATGATCGCCCACGGGGTTCTTGATCTGCATTTGTGTAAAAGTACAGTGGGGATCCTGGTTTTTTACACATGTGTCCAGATCAAGATTCATAAACTCCTCCGAGGGCATGGGGACAGCCTTGTCTCCCAACTTGGCCTGCATATCGCGGTAGTACCACGGAGCCCGAATATAATAATGCCAGCTGATAATCCGATCGATAGGATCACGGATTAGGTTAATATAAATCGGCTTGGGCAAATGGAAGCGAGTGAAGTTAATGTAGGCAATATGCTGGCTATATATATGTGGCTTTGGTCGGATCAGGAGATCAGCTATAAGATCATTCTGCCGTTGTTTGTTCATGAGGACCGTTTCATGGGCACTGCCCTTATTTCGAGCATGGGTAAAGCCATTGATCTTGCCCAACCGAGCCATCAGTTCCATCAAAGATTGACTACCCACTTTTGGGACTCGATTGAAGAAGACAAAGTCCACCTCGGCGAATTTGGTGTTGTTCAGAAGATCGGCTTTGAAATTGAAGCCCTCATCATCCCCGGTTCCAACACCATTAGCCAGGTCATCGTCCTCTTCCTCATCTTCCTCGTCGTCTTCATAGTGGACATCATCTTCCTTGTGTTTATTGTCGGGAACAGCCAGTTGTTTATCATGTTCGGCCTTGTGGTTATGGCCATCGATCTTTGCCTGATGGTGCACATGATGGTGGTGCGAGTGGTGATCATGATGATGTCCATGTCCCGTTGGATCCCGCATTTCCTCCTCGCTGCTCCGGCGATCATGTACATTATATCCAACCCGCTGCGTAGACAATAGTCTATGTGAGGCTAAATCTGTGCAAAATCTATCGAAGCTGGCCCAATCGAAAGTTCACCAAGCGAGGGTTAGACTTACACCGGAAAAGATCGAAGCAGTACGAAAGTTAGCATAGTTTTATTACTCTTCAACAAACCCTTATTGACTAATTTGCTACTAAACTTCTCAGCTTGGGATTTTTTTCCAGCTGTAGGGCTATATACTGCTTATACAAACGATGTTTGACGAACTGATACAACTCGATTTCGCGGGTGAGATTTTGGCTGAGTATGGTCCTCGCCTTATCACTAATGGTCGGTCTGAACATGTTCCGGTTTACATCTCTCAACTTGCTCTTCAAAGCGTAATACTCGTCTTTAGCCCCACTGAAGAATCGTGGGATATAGCCCTCTAAAACCGATAGCGTGGTATTCGTATCCTCCCAAGTTCCAACCACCGCGTAGTGTTCCTCCACATTCTTCTTGGCCCGCTGCATGGCCTCATGGGAGTTGAAAGGCCTGGAGATATTTGGATTTTTCTCAGTTTTTGGTCTTACTGACGAAAATGTTTTTTGGGTTTTGAACCAAAAGCATGGTTGATCGAAGAGTCGAGGGACTTACATTTTAAAATACTTTTTTTTTAACGATACTCCATAATATATCCTTTTCGGATATATGGAACATGTTATTTAAGGATAGCTAACTTTTTCATCGACTTGAAGTCTACTTATGACCCCACCTCTTATCGATCAACCCCTCTCCCATAGCTTTTTTCCCTTCAACCTCTAGAACATCTACTCACATGCACACCTCCTGGACCTGACCGCAAAGATATAGTGACTGTCGCCGGTGGTCGCCCAGATTGCCCAGTTCCAATTGCTCGTACACACACTCAGGATCACGTTCCTCGATGCATGTGTTAAAGTCCTTTTTGAGCCAGTCTACACTGGGCATTATGATGGCATCCCCAAAGAGCTCCCTTCTCTCGGCGATATACCAAGGGGCGCGGGCATAATAAAACCAACTGACCAACCGCTCGATGGGGTCTCGAACCAAATTGATGTATATAGGCCAGGGCTCGTCCAATAGGCCGAAGTCTATAAAGGCCACATGTTTGGTATAGGTGTTGGCTGTCGTGCAGTTTAGCACTTCGGTGCGTAAAAAGTTTTTGGCATAGGCGTCGTGCATCAAGACCACTTCGTAGAATCCCTCGACATCGCGACGGGCCTCGAAATTATTGCGTTTGGCCAGGATCTTGAGCAACTCCATCATCTTTTCGCTGCCACTCTTTGTGATCCGATTGAAGAATATCGTGTCCACCTGGGCTAGAGGGGTGTTGTTCAGCTGTGCGGTGGTCAGGTGTTTAAGCTGCCGGATTGCAAAAGTTGGGAGTGCTAGTTGGAGTAGTTTCAGGTTGCAGGTTGCTTGGTGTTGGGAGCACAGACACAGAGAAACACGCACATGAACGAGTCAAACACAAGTAGGACAACATATAAACTTTTATAAAAATAGACTTTAAGCGGTTTGCGTTTTAATTTTTTTTTGGAAGCAACAAACAAGGCACCTGGGGCCATCCCATCATCTTAGAAATTTCGCAAAATGTTGCTCACAGCACAGCTGGATACGTGGGCATAAATATTAATCCTCCCCACAACGGACACTTACCTTTGCTATTTAATCTTTATAAATCGATTTTCTATCGCTTCTATGTCGCAACTAACTAACGAACCAAAAAAAGACTGCGCTGACAAATTCCAAGACAGAGTCGAAGTGTAATATTCGTAGTTTGTTTAGTGTTAGGAGAGATCTTTATAGGATAGTGTAGAGCTAAGTAGAGTCAGAGTCGATATAGGAATAGAGATAGCTGATAGTCTACCAGATAGCTAGTTGGCTAAACTTGTTTAATTCTAGTGTGTAGGGTGTTGTTTGTGTTGTATGTGGGTGAGGTCTTAAGAGGAGAAAGCTACAGATATAATGGGATCCTCGCTGACCCAATGAGTGCGACAAGGCAGCGCATGAACGAGACAGAGAGATAGACAACGGATGAGTTTTTCTGGGCAGGCAGATGCTTAATGCTTTATGTTGTAGGCTGAATGCAATATCAAACACCAAGGAGCTGAACTACCGTTCCATGTGTTGGTCGCTTTGATGGACTTTCTTCGATGGTTTCTTTTTTCCGCTTTATGAACCACCAATAATGTATGCAACAATGTTTACGGCGATACGGCAAAAGGCGAGATATATCAAATTTATGCAACTGTGCTTACCTGGCCGGTGCTTTTCAGATATTGGTAGGTGCCGTGTAGGGTGTTGATGTCGTCGTGCTCTGAAAAGTTACGAAAAGGTTTAGTATAGTAAATCTTTAATACAGTTGAAGAAATAATTATAATAACTAAATTATTTTTATTGGATAAGCACTATAAGTGTGGGAAAGAAATTCCTAATTGCTGTATTTTCTCCCTTGTTCACTTGTCAAATACCTCACGATTATCCCATTATCATCAACGTCGCCTTGATTACTAATATCAGTTATCATCTCGACCCCAATTAAATTGAAATATTCGATGACCTTAAAAACTGACGCCAAAAAAGGAAGCAGCCCGAATACTTTTACTTTTCATTTGGGCCCGAAAGTGTTTATGCAATGTTTGAAGGGGATGTCGAGGCCCAAGTCGAAGCTGAAGCCATTTACAGCTATGATAAGTAAATAAAGACGAGTGCAATAAATATGCAAGCTCATGATGATTCCTTTCACTTTTCCGGCTCTCTTGGGATGCGATAGGGATCATCCCCGGTGGATTTGAAAGGTTTCCCCCATTTCTTCCCAGCCCAAGAAGCAAACGCATGCAAATGGATATTTCTGCGTGTCGTGTGGTCAATAAAAAAGCTGATGCCAGATGCCAGACATTTGTCCAGGCCACACAATTAAAGCCAAGCCGGTAAATGACTGCAATTGATCAGTTGGACAGAGAGATGCGGAAAACATCTTGATTTTCAAGTGTAGTGTGGGTCGGCCGCGCCACTTTTGTTTTGGCCAGCCCCTGGTTTTTATGGCCGAGTATTTCATAATTCGCCGCGAACTGAACAAGGAAGTCTGCGTGTATCCAGTCCGATTGCCTTTAAACCAGATCCGTTGTATTTGGTCAATTGGGCAGTTTCGCTGGAAAATGTGGATGAATGAAAGTGTTGCACCAACTGGTTTCTGCCGAGCTTTTGCAAAAAACCGCCGACAACAAAGTCACTGAACCAAGAGTGAAATACATTTTGCGGTCGAAACCTTAAAATAGAAGCCTGCTCTCCTTTTATTTGTCACTTTTTACTTTGGTTCTTTTTCGAGTTTCTGTATCTTGTTTTTTGGTGCGGTTTGAAAATTGGGTCACATCCCATTCAGCCGGCTCTCTAGTCCATTTGCTCTGATTGGGTTCGGTTTTCTCTGGTGTTCTAGCCCGACCTTCAATCTTAGCCTAGCTCCGGTTATTGGCCACTTGAACTGCCACAGTCTCGAAGGTGAACCACGTAGCATATGTCGCAGTTGATTAAATATGAGGCATTACAGAATAATTGTGTGAATTCATTCTGGCAGGGGACTGGTCAGAGTTTGTGGTGTGAATTAAAAGGGGCAGTTAAGATAAAAAAGATTTGAGGAAATTCATTAATATAATAACATTACTTGTATCTATTGAATTTTTTCTAAAGTCTAATTTCAGGTGCTACAAAAGAATTTTGTGTATGTATAAAGAGTTCGATAAGGAACTCAGTCTCTATCCTACTAAAGATCATTTTACCAGGACTTGAAAAATAATAAAAGGCCTTTTAAAAAATGCATTCCTAATCAATCAATATCTATCTAATTAATAACTGGCCAGCCAGTATCTTTACCTCTTCCGTATTCTACGTGCAAACTTCCTCAAATAGCTTTATCTTCCATTCTCAGTCAGTTCCACCCAAAGCCTCGTTCATTAGGTTAATGTTATGTTTCACTTCTCAAGCGCTCTATCACACCCTATCTTAAGATCTGGCTCCAAAATTATCCGAGCCCCTTGGTACCGCCCCTGCTAACACAAATTGCTTGCTAGCTTGCATTTTCCAACTGAATTGGACCTCAGCTCCAAAACACTTATTTTGGCTACCCAGCGAACTTGATGTACAGAGAGCGAAATGTTAGGATATCTGATAAATATCTCTCTAGCTAAATAAGCTGTACTTTAAAAATGGGTATCATTATAAAGACTAACTTGATCCAAAGAATTTATAAAATATTTAGTAGTATTTTATCGGAGTATAGGAAAAGCATAGACTTGAAATGAAACATAAGAAAACTTAAATAATATATGTATAGAAAATTTAACGGTTGTGAAACAATTTTTCCAATTAGTATTAAGTTTTGGAGTACTTTCTCTCGATGTACAGTAGGTGGAGGTATCCCATAGCCGTTGGTGCTATTTTTATGGGTGTTTGGGTCCGTAGCTTAGTTCGTGTCTTGTGGCTGTCTAATTGAAAATAAAGCCCGGTTCGGTAGTGAGCGCAAAGAACTGGTTTGCTGTGCATTTTAGCCAGGGGCAAAGTTGCCATTGCTACATATTTGCTAAGATTGTTGTTACTGCGCCAGCTAAAGGTGCAGGCAATTGCTGGGTTGGTTTCTTACTTCAGAGACAATGGCTTGTGACAGGTAGAGTGCTGAAAGGTTCTAAAAGGGCTGATCTATTACGTCTGGGGTTAAGGGTGATGAAAACAGAGTTTGAAGGTAGAAACAAAAAAAATTCATATAATTATATAATGAGTTATTTCTAATTGTAAAATGATAACTTTTAATTGTATGCAAATACTCGTAGTAAAAACTAATTTTATAACCATTTTATTTCTTACTAAGAACGGCACTTGATGCAAATTGGCGTTTGTGAAAATGTTGTTAGGAAGTGGGTCAATTTCCTTTAGCAATCATTCTCCGCTTACCCCACTCCTTTTAAATGCACACTCTCCTAAAATCCCACAGAATCTCTTGGTTTTTCGATGGCCATTTCCATTTGCTCATTAGACCACGAAATTAACCAACCAGCAGACAACTTGGCTTGCATCGTTCAGCACCGTTAATTAACTTAAGTCAAGTTCAATGTTGCCAGCCAAGTACATATAAAAACAAGGAAGAACGCTATAGTCGAGTACCTCGACTATCAGATACCCGTTACTCAAAGGGAAATGGAGATATGCAAGCAGCAAAGCGAAATTAAAATGCGCCACCTACCGGCGGTAGACAGATTTAAGCGTTATGGGCGTTAGAGTGGGCGTGGCAAATTTATTTTTGGATCAATCGATAGGTATTGACGACACCAATACATTTCAGTTAAAATTTTTTATCTAGCATGCAAATTGTGGGCGTCACAGGTTTTCGCGGTTTGTGGGCGTTTAAATGGGCGTGGCAAACTTTTTTTTAAGTCAATCGATAGGTATTGATGAGAACAATACATTTCAGTTAAATTTGTATGTCTAGCATCAAAACTGTGGGCGCCACAGTTTTTCGCGATTTGTGGGCGTTAGGGTGGGCGTGGCAATATCGCGTAATAAACTTGCGCTGCGTACAAGGCTACGGAATCTAAATCTGAAATCCCAATTCTCTATCTTTGATAGTTTCCGAGATATCTGCGTTCATACTTACGATTTTTTGAAGTTTGTGGGCGGTTTATGGGCGTTAGAGTGGGCGTGGCAAACATTTTTTTGGGTCAATCGATAGGTATTGATGAGAACAATACATTTCAATTAAAATTTTTATTCTAGCATCAAAACTGTAGGAGCCACAGTTTTGGGCGGTTTGTGGGCGTTAGAGTGGGCGTGGCACTCTACTGAAACAAACTTGCGCTGCGCAGGAATCTCAGGAATCTGCGTGCCTAATCCCAGTATTGTAACTCTCATAGTTTCCGAGATCTCAGCGTTCATACGGACAGACGGACAGACGGACAGACGGACAGACGGACAGACGGACAGACGGACAGACGGACAGACGGACAGACGGACAGACGGACAGACGGACATGGCTAGATCGACTCGGCTAGTGATCCTGATCAAGAATATATATACTTTATGGGGTCGGAAACGCTTCCTTCTGCCTGTTACATACTTTCCGACGAATCTAGTATACCCTTTTACTCTACGAGTAACGGGTATAATAAATACAAAAAGGCAGGCAGACAAGACCGACTTCGGCCAACGGCAACAAACGGTGTCATCATCATCATGATGGCTTAAACGAGCATGTTGAGTACGTCGTCATATTCGTATCTTTATCTCGTACTCGACCCCGAGTCGTGTGAGTCAATTAAATGAAATATTTATGAATGGGTGAACAACTGGCTGAAGGTAAGCCTTTTTCCTGCATTTCACACTGTGTATTTCGTTTTGTCTTTAGCCCAGAGAAAAACTCCATCACCGTCACAAGGTGTTGTTTGGTTTTCCTTTTCCAAAATATTTTCTTTTGTTTTTTCTCGGCTATTTGTAGTGTTTTTTGCCATTAGCCGGGTTTTTTTGGAAAGGGGCTAACCGGCGACAATTTGTAACTGTCGGCAATTGACGCGTGCGCAGACGCAAATGCAAGAGCTCAACAATGAAGATGCCACCAGCTGTGCAGCAAACATAACCCACAAGTGCTCTCTGAAGGCCCGTCGCATCTGGCCCGACTTTATCCTCTTCCACATCGTCATTATCATCATCATCACTCACGGCACAGTGGAAAATCGACTTTGGCTGCGAAATTTTCGCTCTTTGGTTCCCTCAAAGAGGGCTTTAAAGATTTCTTAACATGACTACGGGGCTAATTTAAATTTAATTAAAAATATACAGACAAAGGGGTTTTATGATGATTCAAATAGTATTATCAGTTTCTTTTAGCAAAATATTTTAAATAATTATGTTAAATTGTTTTAATGGCAACATACCAATATAGGTTAATATTTTTGAAGAAGTAAAAACTTTAAATTGAAGTATATTTGGGTTATTTAAAAATCGTTCTAGGGAGTATAATAATAGGGAAACATTAGCATAAAATGAGAATGAATTGATTTTGGTTATGGTTTGGGGTACCACATGGGTTGATAGGGTATTCTAGTTTCGGCTCCAGGGGAAAGCCTTTCTTCATTACCACAGTGCATCAGCTGCCTGCTGTTGTTGTTTGGCAATCACTGCAGTTAGGCGTGAAGTCTTCTGTTTTCCCGCTTTGGGCCCCTTCAACTCACATTTTCCCCGCGAAAATCAACCAAGTGGAGATCACTTGGCACAGCTGCCGCTGCGATGTTGGGGCAACTTTGCCTAATTTGCAAGTGGAATTGCACGGCCCGAGCAAGCCGCCAAACTTCCGGCATGGAAATTAGGGTTTTGCATTTCCAGGGAGTTTTGATTCGATTTTGAATTTTTCCGCGGTTGCCTAATAATAGCATTATTAGTTGGTTGGACGCGGCCTAATTCGGGCTTTTTGCTGACGATTGTGGAGTGGCAGAATCTCAAGTGCCGCTCGAAAAACCCGGAGCTTCATTAGCCAGCTATAATGCCCTTTTCAGTTTCATTTTTTATTGTTTATGCACTCAATCGCGGTTTGGTTTTTGGAATTCGGAGTATGTTTGGCAAACACTATTGTGGGGCAAAAAGGTGTCAAGTGATGGCTTTTGTGGTCCTCGGAAATGTGATCTCAATGGGAGCATTTCCAACTGCTAGGAAAGATTGCCCACACAGACAAAAGTCTATAACTTTTTTATGATACACAATAATTAACTGCCTACAAAATAAAAAATATTTGCAATAATATAAGATGTTTTAATTTTATTCTTTTTTTTCGTATTTATTTAAATGTACTTGTACACACAGCTCTAATATAAAAACCACATACGTATTTTTGTGATTTCATAATTCCCGCCAATTAATCCCCTATTTCCTTTTGTTGCTTTTATCACTATCTTTGTTTACTAATTGAATTAATAATATTACAATCAATATGATGCATTATTTATTTCGGCCACAAAAACAAAAACGAGCTTAATGCCCCGTCAAAAGGTTAAATTCCCAGTCACGCAGATAATGCCCCTAACCTTTTCCCTAGCGGACCTGTCGCTCCTAAATAATTTATTAATGCACTAAAGTATTGACAAAAAAGGCTCGCTTATGTAAAAATATGTGTATTTGCGTGATATGGCAGCACATGCATATTGTAATTAAAATGTGCACTGCATTCTCTTTTGCAGCAGCAGCAATCTATGAATGCATCGAGCATATATTATGTTGATTTTAATTTGCCAGTTTATTAGTGCTGTTCCGAAAGTACACACAAATAGTTTAAATGAACATAGGTCTATTTATATTTACTCTCTCTACATTCCCGAAATATACCACAATTAATTCACGAGCTCTAATTCAGACTAAAACGATCAACTAATTTATGGCAAGCGGCGATGGAAAATGTTAACAAAGGTCTCAGCCTCCCCGAATCTCTACTTTTTATGGGTTTTTGCGTGGCTTGAGGTTTGGGTCAATGTGGTAATTAAAAATCAATTGGGCGTAGCAGGCTTTCAAAAGCGGTATTTTATAGATTGAATGGGGGGATATGACCGTTCCGTTGGGTTAAACCAAGTAATACTTGGTAGATACTACAAAAATATGAACCGTAAGCAAGTGTCAAAACGAATAATATTTTTGAATTACCAAAATAAGATATCAAATAGATAAAATAATACAACAAATTTTGGTTCTGGTATGCTTCGTACGGTTTTATAAGTTTAAACTGTGAACTTCCACCAATATCCCTCAGTCATACCCTTCATTCTTCCCACTGTTTTTTGCACTTTGCTAAACTTCCTGTCCAGATCTGATGCCTTATTCCGATAGGCAACGCAACGCGAATGCAATCGAGCGAAAATTCTAGCCCACTATCTGCCCTTGAGTCCATTGTTCCGCGATGGAAGTGAGTTGAGATGAGATGAGGCGAGTGAGATGCGTTAGATATGCATCTGGGATGGCGGTGGCTGGGGGTACAGGTATCTGAATCTGAGGGATAGTGACTTACTGCCCGCATCGTGTCCGCTGATGTGGTTGCCCGTTAGACCCAGGGCCGAAAACTCCGATGGCTGCAGCTTCACCTCCATCTCCTTGAGGCGACTGTTCAATTTGTTCGTGTGCATGAACAGGAAGAAGGTGCACGAAATAGCCAGCAGGGCGATCAGCTCCACGGAACTGCAAGAGAACAAGCAAATAAATTGTTAGTCAAAGGTTATCCAACAGCTCCAAGAGAGGGAAACGGGGATGGTTCCCCATTTATAATGGCCATTAAGCTTTTATAATTTACGCCAAATTGGTTTTTAGCAGCTATTATTTCATTTACACTTCGAATTGCTGTCACAAACAGCCAGCGGGGCGGATCCCTGTCCCCGGGACTCTTACACTCGCAGGCTCCCAGGACTCGAAGGGAATAAAAAGGTGGCATAGGGGCAGAGGACCCGGCTCCAGGACTACAAAGTGTGCGCTGTGACAACATTTAATTAAGTTCTGAAAAGCCGGAACACGGAATGAAACGAAACAACAAAGCAAAAATCGGCGAAGGGCACCAGAACTGCACTGGTAGTGAGTGAGGAGAAATTGCAAAAATTATAAAAGAAATTAACAAACAATAAGGGATGAGTTGTGGGGTGTTGCTCCAAGGGATTCCTGACAGGTGTGCGGTACACCCCAGCGATTGGGGGATCATAATTTATTCAAAGAATTCTGGTTTCCAAAAATAGCATGGATATTAAGTTAAGGCCATCAAACCCTTCGTTTAAAAAAAAAAGAATAAAAATTTAATACATTTTCAAATAACAACACTTAAAAAGTTATCAAAATTGTTCATGGTCTTACAATTATTTTAAGTATCTTATTACTATTTTGGAAAATGCTCATTTTTAAGGAACAATTAAAAATTAATTGAATTTCAGAGTTACAAATATCAAGGTCCATTAAAGCCAGTCATAACACAAAGATTATGCCAAACACAATCAAAAATATATTTAAACATTTTTTAGGCTCATAATCTTTTTCAAATATAAAAATTTTACCTTTTTAAAGTCGTCTTTTGGTAAAAACAATCTTTGAAATATGGTTTTTAATAATATGGTTTTAACAGACTCTTTAATGGTCAGTAAATTAGTAAACTTTATGAAAAGAAAGGTAATAAAAACATTTTTATCAGTATATTACTAATGTTCTACATAACATTTAAGTAAGTACTAAAAAATTAGTTTCTTGCATTGAAAATGATAAAAAGGTAAAAACAGCAGTTTTCTAATCCTCTTATTCAATTTATATCCCATCAAGAATTACACCCCTCAGGGGAGATTCTTGCACCAGTGCAGAGTTCCAGTAAATGTTTTTGTTTTACGAGGTTGTATTCTATTTAAGCCCCTCCCCAGTTCAAACGACTTTCAATTGTTTTCCTTTATGCATGTATTTTCATATCAAATTGAATTCGCAGCGCTCAGATTTGGCATTACTTCTACTTGAGTCGGTAAGCCAGGGCGGACAACAATGACCCAGTTGGGAGGGCTTAACCGAGTTGCAACAGACCGGACAACCTTTTGTGGGCCCTGGTCACTTCTGAAGCACACAAAAGTATATGTTTAAGTATATATCTATTTTTATTTTGTTTTGATATTTTTTACTGCTGCCCAACGTTGATAACAAAACAAAGCGCAGAGAAATAGAAAGAAAACAACGAACCTCCTAAAGAGAGTTGGAAAATAAAACCGGGTAAAAATTGCAATGCAAACTGTTTTCTTTGGCAACTTTTTAATGCAGCTGTCCGCCGCTCCAACTGGACAGCGCCAGAAAGAAACAAAATTAAAAGCAAAAACAGAGTGTATGTATTTTTTATTGTTGGCTTTTGTTGGCATAAATCTACGGGCAGATAGCAGGAAAACTGGGCAGACAACACAGAAAACTTAAAAAACGGTATCAAAATAATAATGACAATAAATGCGGCCATAGAAGGGAAACAAATACACAAAGAAACCGGGAATAAACCGGGCTCAGAAGCCGAAAGCTTAAATACACTTGTAAACTGATTTTCTTAGAGGTAATTGGTTGGTCTTTGCCCAAAAAATGTGTACTAAACAGAATAATAACAAACATATTTGCCGGCATAAATGGCCACTTCGTTCCTAACTAACCCAAATGGTAGCTCTTTCAAATAGTTTATAATTACTTTTGATTCCAAAATTCGTAGAGTTCCTAATGGCTGATTTAAACGGCTTACTCCATTTATTAAGAAAAGTTCTTTTTTCTGGGAATCCCAAAGTGTGCGACAATTTTAAAATGCCCTGTGAAAAAACATAATGACATCCAGCGATCTCCCCTTAACTCCATAACTCCATGGGCGGAGTTTAGTTCGAGGAGTCTTGTTTAGTTTGTCATCAGGTGCACAGAGTAATTTATTTCGAACGACTGCACTGAAGCTCAGCTGGGCAGAATATCAAAGGGGGAAATCTGGGTAGTCTCGGAAAAATCACAGGTTAGACTAGTGAAATGTATCTGCCGGATAGACAGGTGCAATTGATAGCAGAAGCCAGGGGCTGACCAGCAAGGAAAATTCCTTCAGACGGTCACCTGCTGTGCGGAATCAGCTCGAGTTGCTTAGTATATATATGTTTTTTGGGGAGGCTTCGTTTCATTAGCCCACAGTGGCCGCCAAAAGTTTTGCGGCTTATGTGTAGGCGAATGTTTCGGCTGGGCATTTATGGCCCCGTTTTTTCTCAACTTATTGTTAAAGTTGACACTAAAGTTCCACGCAAATCCCACTTAAGCGCTCTAGCCACCAAAAACTTATTCTTTTCCCTGCATATCCCAACTTTGTTACTCATATACAGTTGCGGTTAAAGTAAAAGTAGTATTGAATTTAATATTTTTATGTTAATATGTTAAGCTCCATTCTTAAAAAAAACAATTAATATGTTACCTATGTTTAAATCATCATTTAATATAATGCCCTATATCATATAACTAAGTTAGTTTAAAATTTGTAAGCTTATCTATCTCTTACAGTGATAATAACAACAATAAATTTATTTTCAGAACTTCGTAAATTTGAAACACTTCTATAAGTTTGACCGCGATTGTAAATATATTTTTTGGTCAGCCCAAACAAAAAGTGTGAAATTTATTGACATTTTGTTTGCTACTCCCATTGGATCGCCCGGCGTGTAAATGCCGAAAGTTATGTGATTATTAAAATAATTTTACGTGACTGCGTCGATTTCTTTGTACAACTCTAGGGGGGAGTTGGGGATTCGGGAGTTAAGGGGGTGTACATTTCGGTGGGTCCAACTGCAGTTCGTTTGCTGCCACGTAGCACATGTGCAGGCCATTAGGGACCAAGAACCAGGGACCTCGGCCACACTTGGTTCGTTAGCGCTTTTTTTGGGACTTTCAACATACTATACTATATGTGTGCGATGCGAGTTCTATTTCCCTTGCTCCGAGGGGGCGCAAGGGCGTGGCCAGTGGGGGCGATGTGGCTCCAAGAGTAATAGCTTCGAGCTCGATTTCCACAGTGGCACAGTTGGCTACAACTTCATCAAGATGATTGAAATATGTGCGTGCATGTTAGTAATGAGTGAAATGGGACTAAGAGTTATAGATATTGTTAGGATAAGCTGTCTTTTTCAGAAGGAACTGTATGTATTTCGTATAAAGGTTTGGTACTTTGTTCTTCAATTAAAGTATAAGAAGATCATGAAGGCTTAAAGTTTAAAAAGATGGAACTGTAAAAGCAAAATCTTCCCATATTAAGAGACAAATGACTCGCATTACCAACTAAACTCTGTCTAACTGTATAGCTACCTCATCCATGAGGTATGCGGTGAGGGCCCTAAGACATGTTCTGCATATAACAGCCATGACTATAGATACGTCTGGTTGCTTAGATTATTCCTACGGTTCATGCATATCCAGCAATTTTTCAGCGAATTCAATTCCCAACTCGGAGCGGAGAAATTGCAGAATCACCAAGAAGTTGCCGTAGAACGCAAAGTTCATTGGCCAAGATGCTTTCCGTTTATCCATCAGCATTTGTTGGCCAACAGACCGCACCTTTCACTCCGAGGAAGTACGGTGGATCGGGGCCGAGGGGGATGGAAATGGGATAAGTCAGCTGCCGTTGCATGCAAATTGCTCGCCATTTCCGCTCATTGTCATTCGACTGCCCATACACGTAAGCCTAGGCACCAACTACCGACTGAAAGCATAATTTAATTAAACGATGGCAAATTTTCCAGCTAATCAAACTGTAAAACGGCAAGCGACTCACAAAATTGCAGCCAGTTTCCAAGGCATTAGAAATGAAGATTGCAAAATGCGCGGTTCAAAGAAAAATTACAGTGAAGCTTGGGTAAGTGAAATCATTTTAATTTTGTATATTCATGGGAAATTATAGCTTAAGCCAAAGATTTTTTTCTGTTTATATTAAAACTATTAGCCCAAAACATTTTTTTATTATATATAATTGATTTAGGAACACGATTTCTATAATAACACAAACCAAATTCTCTTAAGAAAGATATAAGATTATGATATGGGGTTCATAAACCTTTAAAGTTTTTAATTGGTTTTAATTTTGCTTGACTTTTTTCACAGCTTGTTCGATCGAGAATTCAAGCTGTGGACTTCGCACTGTTAACAACCACTCGAAATATGCTTCAGTGATATACAGTGAAGCAACTCCAGCAGCACCATCTTGGTTGACTTGCAGAGCAGGCGCAACAAATTGTTCGAGACATGAAGATTTCTTTCGCAATGAGTCCGATTTTCGATGGGGGATCTGCGGAGATGAAAAAACCGAGTCGCGCTTTGAAGCCACACACTCCAATCAATACACGCAATAGGCAAGATTTCGAAAGGTGTTTGAACCCAGATTTGCCCCCAAGCCAGCGGCATTACGATTAGAAGTGGCCAAACAAGTTGAAAGAACGGGAAGGTATGAAATATGAAATCATGGTAACGAACTCTTGGGCCAGATGGTTTCGCCCGGACTTGTAGAACTATTCTCTACTGAACATTAGCGTTTTGGAGGAAAGGCTGGCACCATGACATAACCCAATCGCTAGGCGGCAGATCTTTTTATAACTAGTTGGCCCCCGGGTCACACAATGATTTGCCTGATTTAATATGCAAAGAAATTGAATTTTTTCGCGTTTCTCGGCGTAACA